GCGTTTGCGTATAGGGTGTTGAAAATGAACAAGCAAAATGCCACAGAGCCTTGGACGCTGGCATCGTAATGTTGCCTAAACTGTAGGGAGTTGTGTGCGCCCATATTAAGCTGCAGTGACTGACAGCCCAGAGAAGGAATTAGATACGGCTCCTTAATAGACAATGGCAGTCCCCTGATGAGCTACTCTTCCAAATGGGACTAGCCTCTTGAAATAAAGCCCGTTGTCTTTTTAATGTGAGTACCCTGTGTAATGAATTGGGTGCTCCTAACTGTAAGTGGTCTTGCTAGCATTAACATATGTTTTTAAAGATTTTACTTAATTATTTGACTGAGAGAGTAAGAGAGCACAAGCAGGGGCATCATTAATACTTTATCTAAAATAAAATATAGATTTATGAGGAGCCTTGATAACCATGTATCAGTAACTGATTTCTGTTATAATCTACAGCTGTCATTTAGAAGAACAGTGAGTTATGGCAGAAGGTAGCTTTCAAAACTCTTAAGAAGTAGCCTAGTCCTGTAGGATATGGCTACAGGTCCTCTTTCTGCATTTCCCATAGCTCCACATACAGATTTTTTTGGGGGGGGGACTTAGTTTTCACACATCTACAAAATAACATCATTATCTTGAATGTTCCCTTCTAGTGGAAAAAATAGAAACAAGCACATCCGTTAGAATAGACCTTTGTTGATTGATGCCTACCACAGGTAAAGCACTGTGCTAATAGTCAGGGAGCAGTACAGTAATGTGTCCTTTGTTTTATTAAGATTTTGTGGCCTAAACATTTCCTAATAATTAAAAAATAATTTTAGTGTATATTTTATTAAATATATACATAATTCGTATTTCATAATTCATATCTCTAGATATTTTAGGTGGAAAACAGTTGTTTGCCCCAAATGGAGTGATTTGTGTAATGTAGGAAAATTGCCCTCAGTATTTTATTTCTTGAAGTAGATAGTGGCTAAATAGCCATTCATTTTATAATTATTTATTAAACTATTTGTATCTATATGTTATATTCTTTTCTGGTGTTCTATTATAACTTACAATGAAAAAGGAGTGAGGGAAAAGGATTTTTCCACCCTGAAAATATCTCCTAGAGCAGTGCCTGGAATTCCATTGTGATAAGTTAATTATTTTAGTTAATATTTGGCTTCCCCTTTTCCTCTTTACAATGGAACTATTCTCTGGCCAGTAATACTTGAAAACACAGCCTTTTAGTGTGATGGGTTTGTTTCTCCATAGCCCAGGCATCTGAGCTAATGTACAAGGGATGGTTCTGAAAGGTGCTAGGATGGGGTTGGGGGAAAAGAAGCTTGGAAAGGAAAACAGGAGTACAGATCAGCAACATGGAGAGTTAGGAAACCTCAATAATGGGATGCCTGGGTGGCTCAGTCAGTTAAGTGTCTGACTTTGGCTCAGGTCATGACCCCGGGGTCGTGAGATCAAGCCCCATGTTGGGCTCTCAGCTCAGCGGGTAGTCTGCCCCTCACCCCACTCATACTCCTTCTCACAGACAAATAAATGAAATTAAAAAAAAAAAAAAGGGAAACCTCAGTAATGTGTATCTATTTCTCTTGCTTTGGTAGAGTTCAGTAACCAACACAACCCAGCTTGACTGAATTGCTTACCTTTCTTCTCAAATGGTACTGTGATAACATCTCACTAGTTTGACCTAATTAGCTAAAAATACGGCATTTTAAAAGTATAGTTATTACTTTTAAGTGCACCTTTAGCAACATACAGAAAGGTAAGAAATATTGCCTAATTAGGGCTTTTTCAGAGTCTTACATCTATGAATAGAAAAGCCCAAGTTATAGTTAGCAAATGATGTCATACGAGGGTATCCTTCAGAAATGCTCCCATGAAGTTCATGCTTATAAGTAGCTTCCCCCAACCCCCGTACTCTCTTTTCCTCATAATCTTTTTAAACCCCAGGCTTGTCCAGCTCACATAATTATAGAGAAGAGGAATACATTTCAATAGATTTCTGGCTAGTAGTCCGCTGTTTTGAATATAAAAGAACCATGAATTAGATTTTATTACTGCCAATACCTTATTTGTTTATAAAATATGCGTATTGAAATGCGTATGAAAATTCTATGACTGTTAGGTTAGTAAAATAGTCCTGACAGTCAAACAATTTACTTTGAAGAAACCTGGCTAAACTGTCGCTGAGTGTTTGAGAGACAGCGTGTATGTGGGGGTTTTTTGAAAACTGAAATTCTTTTGAAAAAACACTCATCTTATGTTTCATCTCAAAAATTATTCGGATGTTGTGAATAACCAGGCATGGGTTTATTTAGAAAGTATATACACATACATAGTTTGAGACTTTTCTGTTTGAAAATATTCCTGGATTCGTCTACCTGTCAGAAGATTCAGACAGAAGGAAATGAGGCAAAAGGGTTAAACACTCACTCTTTCTGAGGTGATCGGTAGTAAGAGAGGACTAATAATCAGTCTAAAGAGATGAGAAGAGAAGCAAACCTGGGCTTACTCTTAGGCTAGTTGCCCAGGGCTTCTGTTCCGGTGATGTTCACCTTTGCTCAGTGTTGCTTCCGTTGGCGTTATGGGCGCTGGGCATTGGATTCTCTGCTGTGTTCCTTCCTCTCCTAGCGGTGGTGGTGGGGAACGGCCCTAGTTTAGTTTAGGTCCCTTCATTTACAGTATAAATTAGTAGTACCTGCTAAAACAATACCACATTTTAAAAAAGTTTATTAGGAACAATAAAAATATTAAGGTCGGGGCATACCTACTGTCTTGAGCACAGATGAATTAACCCCTCCTGCCAGGGCCCAGGGCTGTCCCACATGGAGCTACACTGTGGAGAAGCAGCTCTAGCTCCTATCTGAGCCTGCAACTTTGGGAATCTGCCCTTGGGACTGTTATTAATGGTTATGGCAGAATAGACAATGACCGGCCACTGCCAATGGGGTAGTTCACGGCAACTGGTTTTGTCCCATTCATTACAGCTGGTGACATTTTCTGTAGACTCCAAACAGCTTTCCTAAAGCTTGGATTCTGAATATTGCTCCAACATGAACTTACCTTTAGGGCACTTACCTTTCCATTTCAAGATTCCAAAATAGGAATAAAATTCAGATACTGAATCCAAGTCGAATTTCTTACTATGATAGTTTTGGAAGCTCTTTGTTGAAATCACCATTCTCTCTGTCCAAAGAGTATTCATTAATGTTATTTTTCCTGATGAGTTGTCAAACATGCCTCCAAATGTTCTGAAGAGTATGTCTCTTCCGATGGACCCTTAATTTACACTGACTTTTTTTTTTCTAAAGATTTTATTTATTTGAGAGAGAGCGAGAGCTCATGTGTCTGCACATGCGCATGAGTGGGAGGAGGGGCAGAAGGAGAAGCAGATTCCCATCTGAACAGGGAACCAGACATGGGTCTCAATCCCAGGACCCTGGGATCATGACTGGAGCCGAAGGCAGATGCTTAACTGACTGAGCCATCCAGGCGCCCCTGTTTGTTTATATATAGATTTTTATTTTTTTAAAGATTTTATTTATTTGAGAGAAAGAGGGTGTGAGAGAGAGAGAGAGAGCACGAGAAGGGGGAGGGAGACTCAGACTCCCCGCCAAGCAGGGAGCCCCATGTGGGACTCGATCCTGGGACTCCAGGATTATGACCCGAGCCAAAGGCAGTTGCCCAATCAACTGAGCCACCCAGATGCCCTGGGCACCCCTATTTACACTGACAATTGAACTGTTTGAGAGTGGGGTGCACAGGGCACATGGAAGGCCATATATCATGGTGGTTTAGAGCTTAAGTCTCTAGAGCCGGACTGCTGGGTTTCAAAGCTGGTCCCCTCACTCATGGTCTATGGGACCTTGGGAAAAGCCCATTTTTCTTATTTTTAAAAATAGGGATAATATTAGTATCTACCTTATAGGGTTATTTTGAAAATTATGTAAGTAAATGAAGTGCTTGGGATAGCACCTGACACATAGTAAGTACTCAATAAATATTAGCTTTTAATAGTATTACAGACTCACCCCATGATTAAAAAACTGTAAGTGCTTAGTGGTGATCACACTTTGGATCAAAGGACTTGAACTCTGGACATATTTCTGCAAGATGCCAGTCTGAAGACGCACCTGCATGTCACACAGAGTTAATTGAATGAGGGCTCTGGGCATCCCCTTGCTGGTCTCCCCTGTGCTTCCGAGAGTGAGGCACACACCACTTGAAAATGGTCACCATCAGTGCTCACATGTCACCCCTGCAGGCTTATCAGCCTGTGTCCTGAGAATGGGATCCAGACTTCCCGGGTGGGCCTGGCTACTTATCTTTATTTGGATCGTGATTTCCAACATTGTGTCTACTGGGGGCTCCCTCTGCTGGTATGTCTAGCATGGATGCAGATACGTGGAATAGTGACTTTTAAACAGTTGTAGGCTTTTAGAGATGTTTGTATAAAAAAAAAATTAAAAACTTTTTTTTTAACATGTGAGTAATAGAAATAACATCTGTATTACTCTTTTTTTTTGCCGTTTGCATTATAAGTTGGAGTATTTTTGCTTTGATTTAGAATGGGGGCTATCATGGCATGCCAAAAACAGTAATTTCTTCACGATAGTTAATCAGGGACTGATTATTAGGTCTTACATACCAATATATACCACTAAATATTTTAGAATCCTATTTCAGCAGTCTAAAGAATATCTACGATATGGGGACTTAGTTAACTCTTAAAATTTCAAAAGGGCCCATTTTCAAGTGGTGTCATATCCAAGACCCTCTTAGATGCTGTTATGTTGAGGGCTTAGTACGTGTCAGGGAATAATACCTTAGATTTATTGGGTGATTCATTATTTATTTAGAATTATAATTTATTAATAAAGTGCACCATGATGTCCCTAAAGTTGCATTTCTAAAATAACTTTTTGGCTTCTGTGTGGTTTTTTGTTTGTTTGTTTGTTTTTCACGACTCTTTTCTTCCATCTTTCCTTACTGCTCTTTGCTACCAGGCTCAAACAGCATAAATCGGGTAACAGCAAACATGGACAATGGAGAAAATGAAGGAACGACTAAAATTATTGCACCTTCACCAATAAAAAGGTCAGTCGGTTAAGTGAAAGAACACACAACGGTATGTTGTCACAAAAAAGCTTTTTCCTGTTGGCGAGGTGAAGAATCTTTTTACTTTGATAGTTCATACTTTTGGTTGAACTAGTGTGTGAGCCAAAGAGTTATTTAAAATGCCAGTGGAGTATAAACAGCAGGACCTGCCTCTCTCATCTGAAGGAAATGCTCCTGCTGCCACAGCATGGTGATCTCACAGACAGTCTGTGGTCCCATTCTTGGCAGCAGAGGGACAATTCCACGTGATTTTTTAAAATGGCATGCTATAATGGACTTACTCAGAGCGACCTGTGAAATAAAGTCGATGATATTCATGTTTAATGTACTGTGTTCATTACCGTGGTGCACTGAACTGTGGCCCTGGGAAGAGGGCTTACAGCATTTAGAGGCGCAGGGCTCGGGAAGTCAGTGATTGCATATGTATGAAGAGGTGTCATGGTCTTCTGCATCAATTTTCCCAGCAGCATTCCCCAGCAGAAAGACCTTCTCTCAATATATGACATGGCTTGTTTCCATGAAGGATCAGCCTTGTTCTCTGTGAAGATACTGTTCCAGCGTCAGTTTTTCCTATCTCCAATTATGTCCTCGGAACAGCATTTGAGAAGTACAATGAGCAGCTTTCATCAGCTCACTTTGTCTATAGCACTAGCTTCTGAGTCCAAGCAGTCAGAAATACGTGACCCTGACAGACTTCTTTGATCATCTGCTCCATCTCGTTAGTAAATAATGGCGTCTTCATTCAGTTGGTTTGGGGCTACAGTGGAGGAGTACAGTTTGCAATTTCCTAGCAAAAGAATTCTAAGATAGGAGGATTCTCAGAGTTGTGGTGTTTTCCCCAGGGTTTTGCCTACGTTGTCTTTTGTTTAGTTCCGGGATGCTCCCTGCATGGATTCTTTCTGGAATGACAGGGTCATTGCCTTTTTTGCATGCACTTTAGTTGGCCTAGCTGGCCTCGGTCAGCTTCACAACTGTGTATAGAGTGTCAGCTTAATCTGTATGTACAGGGTATGCTTATGCTATATCCAACATAAGAACAGTAATCTGCCATGAAATTCAGATCCCAAGCCTTTTTAGAATGTACAGAAGGAGTTCAGTCCCCTTTACAACTGTTTTCTTGCCAATGGGACTGATACCTGAAGTGCTGCCCGCTTTTCCCACTCAAGTTCCAGATGAGAAATGGCTTAGAGAGTGAATGCAATTAATTAAATGAATAAAATAAAATAAATAAAATGAAATTAGGATTTCATTTTTCTCTAACTTTCTCCTGCTCTCCCATTTCCCCTTTCATCTCCCTTCTGAATTTCTCAATCTCCCTTTTTCTTTCTCATTTATTAAACACACACACTTTCTACTATTAAGTATGTATTGTATTTATTACTTCTCACCTCAAAAGTAAGATTTTTGGGAACTTGATCTTCCAAAGATTATTTAATCAAAAGAATGTATTGGTCAAAAATTAAAACCTACTTACTATATGCTAATATGATGAGTTAAGTGCCTTTGTCAAATACATAATTTTTTAGCTTTATATTAATTCCTGTATGGGTGTAGTCTCCTAGGATACAAGTTTATTTTCCTTTTTTGAAATGACCTTGTCATTTTTTCCCCTCTCTCTTCTTTGTTGACTGTTATAAAGAACCCTGCTATTACCATGTTCGAGGACAACTTATATAGGGGATTCCTCAAAAATCCAGGGTTAAATGTGAGTTAGAAATTAAGTAGCTCTATCTTTTCCTGGGGCTGAGACTCTGGGGATGTGAGAGGTAATACATCTCCCCTCCCTCAGTGGAGGCCTGGGGCTTCTGATGAGTCCTTTCCTCTGTATCTCCCCACATGTGTCTAAAACAATTTGTTGAGATTGAATAACAGCTCAGTTATATTTACATTCTTCAGGCAGAAAGATGATACTAGGTCAGGAAATAGCATTTCGAAGTCCTTCTGATTTGGAAGGATGAAGCCAAGATAGGGCGGAAGCTGGGGGCCGGGAAAGGTCGGTTTGGGTAGCCTGAACTTGTCCACGGCTGACCCACCTGCGCAGATTTAGACTGAAGTCCAGAGCTGAAAAGAAGGAGCCGGCCTCAGGAGCCCTCATACTCCAGCTTTCCTTCCTCGTCAGCTTTCTTTTCTTGCCTCTGCCCTTGCCCTTGCTTCCTGTCCTGCAGATAGACTTGTCTTCCAAGTTTCCTAACAGTGGATGACCTGGCTTTTGTTGACTTAAAGCAGTAATATTAGGAAAAAAAAGGTGGAGGGGAGCCCAAAAATACTTGCTGGAGAAGTGAATTTTTTTAGGCAGTCACCTCCTACCCTTTTTAGAATGAGTCACAGGTGTAAAAACACATTTTAAAACATTTGTTAAACAGTTTCACTGAAGAAGGAAATATGTGAGTGAACTTCCTTTTATTCTCCAGTTAATATATATTCCATGTTTTTTTTTTTCTTTTTTAAATTAAAGCTTTAAGAAAGCAAAGAATGAAAACAGCCCTGATACCCAAAGAAGCAAATCTCACACACCATGGGAAGACAACGGCCCCCAGAGGTAAAGAGAATCATTGTTTTTCTAAAGGCGAATGGCAGAAATGGGATTGGCCATCAGGACACATTAAATAATGGAATCCAATTAAATAATGGAATCCAGCTGTTTTGTGACTGGGTGTTGCTACCTGTGGACGAGGCAGTCAGATTCCTAAAATCAGCATGACCGAGAACTTTCCAAGTAGAAATCAACAGGGTATATCCTAAGGTGAAACTTTCTCCTGGAAGACAGGAAGGGAAACTAGTATGTATTAAGACACTACCTGGAATATTGTTATGATGGCTTAGAGTAACATAGTATAGTTTTGAACTCTAAATGACATATTAATGATAATCCCCTCTACTGTATAGTTCTTAAAAAACTATACTTGGAAAGTATATTTGAGGACTAATGATCCTAGAAGAACTTTATTCACAAAAATATCCATATATTTAGTTTCTTTCTGTCCACAGCTACCAAACCAGCAACAGACCTGCATTATACCTTACCGACTTTAGAGTCCTGGGGATCCCAGCTACGACGACCCAGGGGTTCAAATCCTAACTGGCCACTTCTTAGCTCCTTTACTTGGGCCACTCAAACATTCCGTATTTCCACTTTCTTTTTCTGTTACGTGGGCCTAATAATTGTAACTCAGTGCTTGTGGCTGATATGAAGATTTGCTAGGATAAGGAATATAAAGCTTTTAGCTCAGTCATTGCGTGGCATATGGTAAGTTTGTTGTACATGCAAATTGTTACTGTTACCATCACTTGGGTGTTCATTTCTTACCATCGAAGGCCCACAAATCCATTCCTGAAAAATAACAACTCTTAGGATCTGATTTGCCAGATCTTACCTCCGTTTTCTTTTAGTAAATCTTGTCAGCAAAGAGAACTATGTGCCCGTGATCCAGTATATCCCTGAGGGGGCAAATACTTGTGTAGTCTGGGACTGGGCTGTCTGCCCCTCCAGGCCCTCTATGGGCACTGTTGACCCTTCCTCTTCCCTTGCAGTGGACTCTACCACTCTCCCAATGACCGCATGAAATCCCCGAAGTTCCCCTACACGCGCCGCCGAAACCCCTCCTGTGGGAGCGATGACTCTGTCCAGCCAACGAGGAGGAGGTGAGCTCAACGTAGCCCCTTGGTTTTTAATTTGCAACAGAACCTCTGGGTCCCAGTCACAGTTCTGTCGCAAGTTATTCTTATAATACCATGACTGTCCTCCCAAGGTAACAGAAGGCTTACTTTTTTTTTTTCTTTTTTGAGATAAAATGAGTTAGGCATCCTGAAGCATTTCTCTTTAAACAGCCTAAATTTCAGAGAATAATCTCATAAAATACTGGTAGGAAACTTGCTCCCCGTATGGTATTTAAGAGTGATATGTTAAAAAAAAAAAAAGCTTAGGTATCTATTTTAACAATATATATTATATAGTATATATAATCTGTAATATATATAATATGTATTGCATTAGTGATATATTTTTATATATCAAAGATATTAAATGTTCTGATCTGAGAAGATAAAATTATAGGTAAATTTTAGCTCAGGCTTAGCACTCTGTGTTCCAGACTGTTGTTGCATAAACTTGAGTAAAACCCCTTTCAAAACACAGGAAAAATGGATCCTGTTACATTTTACCCAGCAGGTCAGGTTGTTTTTGTGATTATATTTGAATGCACTTAATTTAAAAAAAAAAAAAGTCCATATCTGGAAGTTTTGGACTTTCTAAAAAGCTGGCTGGGCAATGTGACAGGTGCAAGAGAAGAAGACCTAGAAATGACTAACCAGTGAAATTCATTTCATTCCTACTTTGCAGAGACTGTTTTACTTTGAGTACCTACATACTGGTATTTTGTAAGTGACTTTTCTAATTATGACAGACAGGTTCATGTCATGTTCTCAGATAACCATCAATATCACCGTGGATCAGGGAAACAGAAGCCTTTCTTTCTTCTCTGCCCTTATTGATAGTTACTCGCTGGTTCATCCCTGGTTCATTTCCTTTGGCTTCTTCCAGTTTCCCTGAGTCATGTTCCCCAGCTTTCTCAAACGAGGTCCAGCTTCACCAAAATCCTTTGATGGTTAAGGAGACAAAGTTCAGCAACACCTTCCCCTCATAGGTCTGAAAAGGGGGAGCTAAATCATGAGCACTGGTGATTAGACAGAACAAAGGGATAATAGTTGACATTGATTATGTTTCAAGTTCTGAGCAAAATTGCGTGCTATATATTATCTGATCCTCATAATAACTTTGTGGAAAATGGCCTTTATCATTTAACCAGTAGGTATTTCCACCAGAGAGGGATTAAAGCGAGAAATTGCATGCAAGTTTGAGTAGCTCTGGAGGAATTAAAGGCAGGGAGGTGCACCCTGAGATCTGGATGCTGTACCAGTCCTGGGCTGGCAGGACGAAGGCTTTTTCCACCTTGGAGCTAGACTTCATGAATCTGTGCTTGCTATGGGCACTGCCGATGTAGCAAATACTCTTGCTACCCCTGCCAGAGGGACCACCTCTGTAGCTAATGCTGGGGGCTTCTACTGCTCAGGAGTGCCAGAGTGAATGCCGTAGCTATGTCAGAAGCAAACTTGCCTCCCCTTCTCTTGCCTTCAGATCTCACCTGAGTGCCTCTCTAAGTGGAACCCAGCGGGCAAAGGAATCTGAGAAAATGTAGTTTCAGACTTCCAGTCTTGACAAAACAGGGGAGATTATTGATGGGTTGGGATGGGGCTGCGTACCAGTGGAAAGTGGAAAGCCCTTGGCCTCAATGACAAAAGGAGGCTGGGGGATGGAGGTAGCTGTCCTGTGTAATTTGAATCCAGATCTGTACATCTGTAAAAGGCAGGGATAATAAATCATCATTTAAATAGAGAGGGGAAAAGATTTCCTGCCCTCCCTATTAAGGATTGGTTCAACTTGGACAACACTTAAAACCCAGGCAATACCACAGAGAAATACTTTAAAATACATTTGTGTGTGTTTGTGTGTTGGGTGGGGGGGCAAGGGTAGTGGGAATCACTACATATTTTAAGAATTTGGTACTTCATGATTATTGTTAAACAGGTTTCTATAGTTTCTCGTTCTTCATTACTAGCGTAGTTTGACAGCATTCCCTAAGTAATATAATTGTACATGTTGAGCAGATGGTCATTTTGATTTTAATATACATGGAAATGAATTTATCAAGTTTTGCCAAAATAGACCAAAATTTACATTAGTTTTTTCCCAAACTGGGTTTCCCAAACCCAGTAGTTTTTAGAAGGATGGTAAATATAAGATCACATTTGTATTGTGTAAAAATGAGTCTTAACTGTCCTGTGGAGAAACAGTGGAAGAGAGAAGTAGGGGAAAGAGAGACCTGGGGCTACCATGTGAGTCCTGGCAAAGGCTAATGGGAGCTTGGGCCAAGGTGGTGATGTGGAGATTTAAGGAAGTGGATGGTTTTGAGACCTGTTCGGAGGTAAAATCAGTAGGGCTGGGAGGTTTGAAATAGTTTGGAGCATATACATTTTGAAATCTAGCCTTAATGGCTTCTATATTGAGACACATTTTTGTGTGTGTTGGCTTCCTGTGAAATACAGATGAGTAATTGTGGTGAGTGGACACAGGATCCTTTCATTGGCACAGTCCAGGGGAAAGCCTATTTTGATTTACAGGGAAGAGAATCTTTTTGTCCGAGCAGCCATAGAGCCTTCTGTCTGGTTATGTGTATCACTTGAAAGGTCTCTTATTGGGCATGTGTGTTTTGAGGAGACCAGCCCTTGCTACATGCTGGCAAAGAAGAGCTAAATCTCATTCTTTGTTCTTTCTACTGTAAATGCCCTCTGAATGTCCTTGTCCCTGTCAGTCTGGCTTTATCTTCACAGGTATTTCCCTCGCCCCCGGGGCACAAATCCCTGCATGGCTAGGGTAACTCTGACATTTAAAACAGATTTGTCAGCATCATGAAAGAATCTCAAGGACTTAAATTTGATAATAGGAAATTCTATTTTGTAATGGATGCCAGAATAACGTGTTTTGCAAAAGATACCAAATTTTATATTTTGCCAGTTGTTTGTCATTAGATGGGTACATCTTTCAAATTCTGGCTGAGTTTACAGCACTGGTCCTTAACCTTTTTGGGCGACAGAACTCTGAAAATCTGATGAAAGGTTGGATCATTCCTTAGGGGGAGAAAAGTACATAATTAAATAAACATACACACTTTCATAAAATTTTCATGGTTCACAGAGACCCTTGAAGCCTGCTTGGTTAAACATTCCTGTTCTAGAAAAAGCAATCCAGCCTACTTTCTGATAGTACAATTTATTTTCACCCCTATGCATCTCTATACTCAGAAATGTTTATTGAGTCCTACTTTATGCAGGTACTGTGTTAAACAGCAATAGAGAAAGTTTCTGCCCCTTAGGAGTTTACAGTTTCTTGGGGAAGGAAATATATGAATCATATAAATGCATGAGTACTTAGACATTTATATATAGAGAGAATTATGTGGTGCTTAGGGGAACTAAAAAAAAAAAATTACTGAAACCTAACATGCACACAGAAAAGTACACATGTCCTAAGAATAACTGCTTGATAATTTTTACCATTCAAGTACGTGTATTACTGGCACCATGATGGGAAGTTTTGCTGTGTTGCTGAGTCAAGGAGGTCAGGGAAAGGTTCTCAGGCTGGATGCTTGAGCTGGAATTTGAGACAAGAAGAGGCAAAGAGAGCTAACATGTGCAGAGGCCTCAGGGTAGAAGGAGTGGGGAACATTCATGAGAAGGATAAATGAGTCCAGAGAGAAGCACCTCATAGGACACCTGAGCCTTGTTGAAGATTGGGGTTGTTAGACCCAGTAGTTTTTAGAAGGATGGTGAATACAAGATCACATTTGTATTGTGTAAAGATGAGCCTTACTGTCCTGTGGAGAAAAGGTGGAAAAGAGAAGTAGGGGAAAGAGAGACCTGGGGCTACCATGTGAGTCCTGGCAAAGGCTAATGGGAGCTTGGGCCAAGGTGGTGATGTGGAGATTCAAGGAAGTAGATGGTTTTGAGACCTGTTGGGAGGTAAAATCAATAGGGCTGGGAGGTTTGATATGACGGGTGAAGGAGTGACTGATGTCATGGATAAAATCCAGGCTTGAAGTGTGATGCACTGAAGTAATAATCACTGGGAAATGACAAGCTTGAAAGGGACAACTGTGAGTGGTTTTTGGTCTGTTGCATTTGTGGTGTCTTTGCAAAGAAGTCGAAGTGCAGGAATCACATGGGTTGTTGGATATAAGTCTGGAGCTAGATTGGCTATTGGCTAAAATATAAATTTCATAAAGATGTAAATTGAAATATGAAACAGAGGGGAGGCTGTCTAGGTAGATAGAATGCAAAGACCAAGCCCTTGACAGAGCTGGGAGAAACTCCAGCATTTATTCGGCTTGGTTGAGGAGAATTACCTTCAGAGGAAATTACTTGTAGAGAAAAGAGATGGAGAAATTTTGGCCACAGTGGGGAAAAAATCTAGAGTGAAAATCTGCTTACTAAAGAGCTCCCTTTCTTCTTCATTCCCAGAATGCTAGAAGCCAGATAGGTATCTCCCAAGCAGGAGATCAAAGAATCTCACTATGAGAAAAACAGATACAATAGAAGAGACATACAGATACCAACTTTTAAAGGATCATCCAGTGAAATAGTTGAGACTGCCCATATTTCTTTGCTCCACACTGCAGTGTTAACATTCTCTGCACCATCCAGAGGGTTCCAGTCCTTCTAGTGCCGAATTCTTAAATACAAATACAAAGAGAGAGCCGTAATCACTTGGCATGTGAAGATAGCTTCTGTTTGGAAAGACAGAGACTGAAACACACAACGAGCAGTGTGTATGTGTGTGTGTACTCACAGGAAATAGAGACAATATAAGAAACATATTATAAAGGTATAATTGTCTTTTAAAAAAAAAAAGATTTATTTATTTATTTGAGAGACCGCACGACCTCAGGGGAGGGGCAGAAGGAGAGGGAGAGCAGACTCCCCACTGAGCAGGTAGCCTGTGAGGGGCTCCGTCCCAAGACCCTGGGATCATGACCTGAGCTCAAGGCAGACGCTTAACAGACTGAGCCACCCAGGCACTACATATGTATAATTATCCTGAGGAAAAAAATATTGATATCAAAAGAGAAGAATAAGTAGGAATTCTTAGACTTAAAATTCCTGTAGCAGAATTTAAAATAATTAGTAGAAGGTTTGGAAGATTAGGAAATCATCCCCAAGGTAGAACAAAAATAAAACAGATATGTGTAACATAAGGAAACAATTATCAAACTTGGGTATCAAACATTCGAGTAATGAAATTTCCAAGAAAAAATGCAGAAGAGGAAAGTATTAAAGAAGTAGTACAAGAAAATAGCCCAGACTGAATGATCAAACGTTGTAGAGAGAAGCTAAGGAGGGTTTGATATAATAGACTGGAAAATTAGATCCAGACCAAGAGCCATTACCATCAAATTTCGAAACATTATAGATTAAGGGAGAATTTTTAAAACTTCGAGGAAGGGAGGGATATGAGAGAAAAATGTTCATACACAAACGTCGGCAAACCAGAATGGCGGCATTGGGCTCCTTAACAGCAGCAACATCAGAGAAAGAAGATGAGCATTGCCTTCAAAATGCTAAGGGGAGATTCTTTTCAGTGTAGGATTCTAAGCCCAGATAAACTATAATTACATGAGTCAAAGATATTTTGAGAAATTCCAGGTCTCAAAAAAAAAAAAAAAAAGTACCTGCCACGCAGACTTTCTCTGTTAACAGCTAGAAGGTACATTCCTCCAAAACCAAGACTAGCAGTCATGAGAACTGGAAATATGGGATCCGTTTCCAAAGAGGCAGAAGGAATTCCCTGGATGATGGTGAAGGGAGTAATCAAAGTGACATTTGTGCAGCAGTTCTAGGGAATAGACCATCCAGGGTTCCAAGGAAGGTGTCAGTGGAACCTGTAGATTACCTAAGTATTCTCCCATGTCAGGAGGACTTCTGCAGCTCTCAGAGTTTGGATGAAGAAATTAGTGATAAAATAAAGTAAACTTGGGGCACCTGGGTGGCTCAGTGGGTTGAGCCTCTGCCTTCAGCTCAGGTCATGATTTCGGGATCCTGGAATCGAGCCCTGCATTGGACTCTCTCTGCTCAGTGGGGAGCCTACTTCCCCCCCCCTCTCTGCCTGCCTCTCTGCCTACTTGTGATCTCTCTCTCTCTGTCAAATAAATAAATAAAATCTTAAAAACAAAACAAAACAAGGATAACTAAGCAACCTATAGGTGCATTAGAAAACTAGGCAATTGTTATCTTTAAGTGTAAAACCTGTATAAGAATGGAATTGTGTTCCTTAAACGCTGTAGAGATCATCTGTGAAAATATATAATTGTATATACTAAGTAAAAATTATCGAAAATTTTGATGTAAAGACAGAGAGGCCTGTCAACATTATATTGTTTGATATAAGTATGTTTGAGAAATGGGGGAATTTCAGTCATGATGATGACATTAAATAGCCATGTCTGCCCAGTCCATGTGAAGGCACATATATAAAAGGGTGAAGAAATGGAGACAAGGGGCTTAGGCACCTCTCTCAAGAAGTTTGAGAGAGGAGATACTGGGAAAAAAATGAAGGGGGATATGGAATCCAGCAGACGTGTGTGTGTGTGTGTGTGTATATATATATATGTTAAGATTTTAACTATGTATTTGAGAGTTAGAGAGCATGAGCAGTGGGGAGGGGCAGAGGGAGAAGGAGGCTCCCCGCTGAGCAGAGAGCGCCACTCAGGGCTCAATTCCAGGACCCTAAGTTCATGACCTGAGCTGAAGATAGACATTTAACTGATGGAGCTACCCAGTCGCCCCATGCCTGTGTGTGCTTAAATAGTAGAAACTTGGTGATGTGAAAAGCTGGTGAAAGAATTTTCTATATGGACAAGTTGAATATATCTGAGAGGTAGGAGGGTGGTTACTGAAAGTCAGTAAGAACGTAAGAGGTGATGGGACCCAGACAACACAGGAGGAGCGACTGACCTTAGTTGTAAGGACAGATCTGTAAATAACACAGAAGAAGATGTAGGCAAGTGTTATTTTTGGTAACAGGAAGATGAAAGAGTTGCCATCTGATGGCTTTCTCCTTCTTTGGAAGGAGAAAACAGTCAGCGGCTGTTGCAGAGGGACCGGTGTATCAGAGGGTTGTGAGGTAAAAAGAGTCGGAAATCACTTTGCAGAGTGAGAGTACTTAGATCAGAGGAAGGTGATAGGATGTTGTGGAGTCACATGAAGTTTGTGAACATGGATTTGTAGTATAACTAACGTGCCCTTTTGTGTAACTCCCCCTGGCACTGCTCAGCCAGCTGCCGAAGGCTGGCTCAGAGAACCTGAATAGTTTGACTTACCCATGCGTGGGATCTTGCCAGAAATACCGAACCAAAAACAGAGAATTGGAGGAAGTTTTGAGTACTGGCGTACAGGTTATCAAAATGGTGGAAATCTCAGTTGAGTCAGGGAGGAAATGAAGAAAGGCCGAGAGGAATGGATGGAAATTAGCAAGGTCAGTGAGCAAACAGTTCTGTTGAGGTCAAAGAAAGGCAGAAGGGGCGTAGTGGAAATAAGCAATAATAATTGCAGCTAATAGTTATTGGTTGCTTCAGTGAGCCAGGTCCTGCTCTGTGCATTTTAAATGTATTAATTCATTTTATCCTCATATCATAACAATGCTTTGTGGGAGGTTCCATGAAAACAGGCACTTAGCCGAGAAGTAATTTGTTGAAATCACACACCTTTTTGGTGGGGAGGGGAGGGGACCCACCTTCAGGTTGTCTGGCTCTAGAGCCCGCATGTTTTTTGTTTTTATTTTTAAAGATTTTATTTATTTATTTGACACAGAGAGAGAGTTCACAAGTAGGCAGAGCAGTAGGCAGAGAGAGAGGGGGAAGCAGGCTCCCCGCCAAGCAGAGAGCCTGATGCGGGGCTCGATACCAGGACCCTGAGATCAAGACCTGAGCCGAAGGCAGAGGCTTAACCCACTGAGCCACCCAGGCGCCCCAGAGCCTGCATGTTTAAACCAAGATGCTCCATCAAATCTGTTCAGGAGCATGAACAGGAAGGGGAAGAGATGGTGGCCAGAGACCAACATGTTTGGTGGTGGTTACAGATGATAAAGTCCCAAGTGTGGCCATAATGTGGTCTGCTGAGTTACTATGAAGAGGTTATGAGAGAAATGGTCAAGGGCCTTGGAGGCCAGGGTGTTGGGAAGAGCATGCAAGTGAGAGCTGGCATCAGTCCGATTATGGCAGAACTTAACTTGGCAGATCACAGACGTAGGAACTGCAGAACATCCCATTACTGGGTGAATCATACCTCACAGACATGCTGTGCACTGTGGCTGGTAGACTGTTTGCAGCCTCCTTGAGCTTGTTGGCTTTTTGAGGCCAGTTGGTAATATGTTCTACTTCTCAGACTTGGCATATTGTGTGATTTAAACGTTTGTCGAATGAACGAATACAAAACAGATATGCTGGAATTGAAGTGAAACTCATTTTGCTGTGCTTTCCTTAGGCAATGGATAATTTTCTATTTTCCTTAATATCTTCATTTATTTGTTTTCTATAGGAAAGCCCATAACAGTGGTGAAGACTCAGATCTAAAACAAAGGAGGAGGTAAAAACGTAAAAATGGAAGGGGAAAAAAAAAATTTGGAAGGAGGGTCGGGGAGAAGGAAGAAGGATCAGCTAGAGTGGGGTTTGTTGTTGTTAGTGACTGCTTTAAGGTCATTATGAAAGAATTAACTTGGAGATACCAGCTTTGGCTTCATTTGGTTCCCAGTCTTCCATTCTGTAGGATCCTTAGCAATTTCTCTTTTTTTCCTGCTTCTTTGTATCTTTGTATCTTCTTTGTATCTTGGTTATCTATTGCTACAATAAAACCACCCCAAAACTTAGTGGCTTAAAGCCACCATATATATGTTGTGTGTTTCTGTTGATTGAACAGGCTAGTTTTGCTAGTCTCATATGAAGCTGCAGTCAGAGGGCTGCTGGGGCTGGAATATTCAAGAGGCCCCTCTCTCTCTCGTTTGATGTCTTGGCAAAATGGTGGGAAACCTGAGGCTTCTCTCTCTCTTTGTGGTCCCTCCACCTGGCTGTTCTCGGCTTCTTGAGATGGCAGCCAGGAGGAAGCAGGAGCTGCCTGCTCCATGAACAGATAGATAGTTTAGGACCTGGCAGAGTATAGCCCCTCCACGTCATTCTGTTAATAAAGTCCGTCACAGCTCCAGTGCTAATTCGGGGGAGGGGAAATAAACTCTTCCTCCGTTGATATGGGGCGGGGGTGTGACAGGACTTTGTGCTCATATTTAGTCCACTGCAGGGCTGTAGAGCTTTGCCATGGCAGATTTTGTTGGAAGTGCTTGATTTTGTGGTCTTTTTGGGGAGTGTGGTGACATTTGCCCTAATCTGCTTTCACATGTCTGTAGACTCATTCAGATGTCTGACTGAATCGAGGATCACTGACTGAGGGAGGGATAATAACTGCTACTGATGTTTGGATTAGTCATTTTATTGCAAAATTCTATCTGAAGAAACAAAGTGAACCTTTCTGAAATTTTTTATTTGTCATAAATGTGTTTTTTTTTTTCTTTTGTTCTCATTTTGTCTTCAGGTCACGCTCACGCTGTAACACGAGCAGTGGTAGTGAGTCAGAAAATTCTAATAGAGAACACCGGAAAAAGAGAAACAGGTAATATTTGATACTGTAGTTATCTGGAACTCCAAAATCAGGGGCTGCTGGTGGTGGTAGAAGCTGTGTATCCTATTTCTTTTTCCTTTTTTTTTTTTTTCTCTTCCCTTTCCCTCCCCTTCCCACCCCTCCCCTTCCTTCTTTCCTTCCTTCCTTCAAGATTTTATTTATTTACTTGACAGAGAGGGAGGGAGAGAGAGGGAGCCTGTGCGCGTGAGCTCACAAGCAGGGGGAGCGGCAGGCAGAGAGAGAGGGAGAAGCAGGCTCCCCACTGAGCAGGGAGCCCGATGTAGTGCTCAGTCCCAGGACCCCAAGATCATGACCTGAGCCAAAGGCAGACACTTAACCAACTGAGCCACCCAGGCACCCCTGTGCATCCTATTTCTTAAGTCTGATTTTCTCATCTGTGTTTAAGAAGGAATCTGGCACTGTTTTTCTTATCTTTATAATAAGATGATTAAATAACTTGACAACGAGGGTCCCTTCTTGTTAATTAAAAAAAAAAGATGATTTGTATTTAGGTACAATGTGTAGTGACTTTGTCTAAAGATGGTAAGAAATGTGACCATTCTAGAGGGATTTCTCCCTTTAGTATCTTTTAACGTGACGTTACTTACTTTGTCCAGCCAAAACCAAGAGACTTTATGTTTCCTAGATTTCATAGTCTCAGCCTCATTCGTGTACATGAACATATGTGAGAGAGCTCCATGCTGGGAGTGAGATGGATTGGGTTGCTGGTTGTCCCAGTTTCCTTCCCTTCCCTTTCTTTCTTTCTTTTGTTTTTGTTTTTGTTTTTCAAGATTTTATTTATTTGACAGAGACAGACACAGTGAGAGAGGGAACACAAGTCGGGGGAGTGGGAGAGGGAAAGCAGGCTTTCCACCAAGCAGGGAGCCTGATGTGGGGCTCCTTCCCAGGACCCTGGGATCATGACCTGAGCTGAGGGCAGACGCTTAACGACTGAGCCACCCAGGAGCCCCTGGTCATCCCAGTTTCTAACTTAGTCATTCTTAACCGGGGGCAATTCTGTCTTGCCCCTCCACTCTCTGAGGATGTTTGGCCATATTTTTGAGACTCTTGATTGTCACAGTTGTGTAGGTGTTCGGTGGGTATCCTGCAGTGCACAGGTCACCCAAGAAGTATCTGGTCCAAGAGATGTCAGTAGTGCCACTGCTGAGAAACCGGTTCCCACCTGATATGGAGTGCTGGCCTGCTTGCTTTGTTTTCCTGGGTCGTCTTTTTCCCTTCTGTAAAGTGAGGCAGCCCGAGGAGATAATCTCCCGTACTTGGAGCCCTGTGCTTGGCACACACTGAATTGGGCTGCCTGACGATAAAGCCTGTGTAACAATAGCCCAGACAGCATTGTGATTGTGGGTTGTTTTCTTAGGAAAGCTTTCTCTGTGGAGCCTTCCTTGGGGCTGGAGCCACACTAGACAGGGGTGAGATCTCAGTGTGTTAGGACACCTTTCTCAAGGAAATGCTGACAGTTTCTTCATTTGTAAAAACGCAGGTGTGGAGGGTAACTTTTCCCTCAGGCACCCTCTTCCTGCTGTAAAATTCAGCATCTGCATAAACCACATGAAACAAAGCCAAGAAGGAATAACAGATTTTCCTCCTATTTGCACTTACTGATCAAGCCAGTATCTTAGCACGTCTGCTTCTGTTTGTTGTATTCTAAGTCGTGCTCATATATGCTTCAAGTCTCAACTTCTTGGAAGGTGGCCTGTTTAACACCATTGTCTCTTGGGGTCAGAAGTGCTCATGGCACCATTCGCTGCTCTTACGAAGCACTGTTTGGTTGCCAGCAAAGCCTTAAGCAGCCCGTTTCTGATCCAGTTTGAATGTTCCTCATACATGTTTTCTCCCTAACCAGTTTCTCCCTTTGCCCTCCCTAAATGATTTTGTAGATTGGCTTTCTTTATAGTGTATTGGTGGTGTTTTTGAGAGTGGTGATGGTTCTGAATGTTGACATGCCAATGTACTTTGTAAGGCTATTAATGAGAAGTCACTTTCAAAACACACTCTGACCCAAAGGCTTTCAAACTCATTTATTTTACCTGTAGAAATACTGCCCAAGGGTTACATACATTGCCTGTGTCTGTAGAAGATGAGGTCTAGGGTGTAGCAAAACCTGGGCAGAGGGAAAAATACGTTTTCCATTTCCATTCTCCATTCCTGAAAATTCTGGTGCAGAGGTGACAGTGCACAGGGAAGGAGGGGGGCAGACACATTATGCTGTCTGTGGGCGCTGAGTCCTCATTATGTTCTGTTACCGCTCACCCCTTTGTCCCATTATTATAGCTTTTTAGATTTTGCCGGAACCCATTCATTTCACATCAGAGATCTGAATATTTAAATGGCACCTCTTCTGACAGTCCCAATATGTCTTCTGCTGTGATGAAGGGTTGTTTCCTCATGTCTGACTTCCAACTTGTTAAAAAAACTCCTTTTTGGGGGAGAGGATGCATTTTTTTCAGCCTCATCCTACCTTATCTCGGCCAGCAGTGTGACACAGCCAAGCTCTCAGCAGCAGCCTTTGTGCTGTTATTAAAGGAACCGGGTAACTCTAGAATGGGGCAGACTGAATCCTGGACATGCTGGTGTTCTCCTTCCTGCCAGCCAAGTCTCTCAATTCAGCCCCAGTACTTGATTACCTCTGAAACCAGAGCCCTCCCTGCCTTCCTGTCTCCCTGTGGGAGCCGTAGCCGGGGGCATCAGGGAACAGACTGTGCAGCATTGGTTTTTGAACATTTCTCGAAGCCTCTGGTGTGTCCAGTAGAACTGTAGACAGACCCAGATTTACTCCTTTGGAGATTGTGTGTGATCTTTGTAGTCTTTGGGGTATTGTTCCCTTTGTCATTCCTTCTTGCTGGAACTTTTTTTTTTTTATTTTTAAACAAGGATAGATTGTATTTGTTTGTTTTAATGAGAAAGAGCAAGCACAAGTGGGATGACAGGGCAGAAGGAGAAGCAGATTCCCTGCTAAGCAGAGAGCCTGATGCAGATCTCGATCCCAGGACCCTGGGATCCTGACCTGAGTCAAAGTCATGCTTAACTGACTGAGCCACCCAGGTGCCTGTGGATTTTTTTTTTTTTTTTAATATAAGGAAGACTTAACCTGTTAGGTTTGAGCCCACTTTGGGAATAGTGGGGTTTTTTGTTTTGTTTTGTTTTTTAAAGATTTTATTTATTTATTTCACAGACAGAGATCACAAGTAGGCAGAGAGGCAGGCAGAGAGAGAGGGAAGCAGGCTCTCTGCTGAGCAGAGATCCCAATGTGGGGCTCGATCCCAGAACCCTTAGATCATGACCTGAGCCGAAGGCAGAGGCGTAACCCACTGAGCCACCCAGGTGCCCCTTTTGTTTTGTTTTTCCACCATGTTGACCTGTTGGATCTTAAACTGCTTCACTGTTCTGGTGGATAACAACTTAAAACTCTCTCATTTTGTGTGAGGAGAAACACAAGTGAATGCAACAATGTTCACAAATCAGCTTTATCCATAGCAGTTGCTGTGGCTTTTCATAACCATTAAAAGTAAATAATAATAATTCATACCAATTCTGGAAGGCTGGAATTAGGAACACGGATTGTTGTTTAAAACAATTTCGATTTCAGAAAAATGTAACTGTAGGTAAGCACCTTCACTCTCACCTTTGGGTCCAGAGCTGTGGAGGCCAGGTGCGTGAGGGTCCTCCTGTCTGTTGTGTGTTCACACCTGTGTTCCATTCCACACGGTTCCCCACAGCACCCAAGGGCTTGGCTTCCTCCTTGATCTGGCGAGTTGTTGATGTCTTTTTTTACGCCTTTCCATTTTAGTTGTTTTTCCTTTATTATTTTTATAATCTGGATGAGTGTCCTACAGTTTTCTAGGTTTCAAGGTTTGAATAGACAGATTTTTATCCCCCCCTTTTTTTCAATAATGAGCTGGAAGTTGGAGCACCATTTGTCGTTGTAACATCTAAGATGACAAATGCTTATTTTCCCCTTAGTGTCCCTGTATCTTCATCTCTGTACTCTTGTCTCCCTTTTTATCTTTCTCTCACATTATTTTTCCTCACTCAGTTCCTTTAATTTTCTTTCCTTAGCTTCTTTCCAATCTGTCTTCCTTTCTCTCGTCTTCTTTGTTTTTTTATTTTTTAAGATTTTATTTATTTATTTGACAAACAGAGATCACAAGTAGGCAGAGAGGCAGGCAGAGAGAGAGGAGGAGGAAGCAGGCTCCCTGCTGAGCAGAGAGCCCGATGCGGGGCTCGATCCCAGGACCCTGAGATCATGACCTGAGCAGAAGGCAGGGGCTTAACTCACTGAGCTACCCAGGTGCCCTCTCCTGTCTTCTTTGAGTTCTGCTTCCGCTTAGGAGCCAGGGAAGCATCAGGAAAAACCCCCCAAAGATGTGGGTCAGGGCCTCGGTTCTGTCAAGCCCTGGTGTTTGACCTTAGGAAACTCTTGAAACCACTTTAAATCTGAATTTGCTCATCTTTAAGGTGAGGGATATACTGATCTCTATTGTCGAATGGATCACATGAACATCACTTAAAACCGAGAAAGTGAGACGCTTGGCAGTGGGACCACATGGTCTGATATTTGGCCTTGAAGTCAGGCTCTTCTTGGCCTGTCCCCCCTCTCCTCTGCCCCTTCTCCAGCTCTTCCCACTTTTCTTTAGTCCTGTCTTCCTTGCTCCCACGTTCCCTACCTTTACACACATGCTTCTTTTCAGACAAGGCCTTCTTAGTCTCTGATTCATCAGTAGGTTCATGAGATTGAATGGCTTCATGAAATTGTGTGTAAAAGTCTCTGTGTTTCTGGTGCACCTGGGTGGCTCAATGGGTTAAAGCCTCTGCCTTCCGCTCAGGTCATGATCCCAGGGGCCTGGGATCAAGCTCCACATCGGTCTCTCTGCTCAGTGGGAAGCCTGCTTCCTCCTCTCTCTTTCTGCCTGCCTCTCTGCCTACTTGTGATCTCTGTCAAATAAATAAAATCTTAAAAAAAAAAAAATCTC